GTTTTACTAATATCCCAAATAATGGTTTCTATTTTTTGTCTCTAAGCAAAATTTGGTATTGAATAAATTCATCCCACACCCAGTTATGTTCAGCATTTTAGTTGTTTTTTCATAGGAAGGCTAGACAAGTCACCTGGTGTATTATTTTGCAAGAGGTAGTACACACCTTTGAACAAGTTTTCTTCCATTCTCTCCTTTTACTTGTGGGCTTTTGGTCACTCACCTCTCATTTAGTGACTCCTTGTTGACCCTATTCTAGTCACCATTTCTATGCAACGAATTGTCCCAAAACTTAGTGGCTGAAAACATCTGTTTTATTATATCTTACAGATTTTGTCAGTTGGGGATTTAGTCAGGGCTTAGCAGGGTGATTCTTCTGCTGTTCATGAGCTTGACTTAGGTCACTCAGTGCTATTCAGCTGACAGTGGCTGCTCTGGAGGGTCTGAGATGGCTTCTTTACATGTCTGGTGTCTTGGTGAGGATGCCTCAGAGACTCGGCTTAGTGGTTGGACTCAGCTGGGACTGTCCACTAAGCACCTACATGTGGCCTCTTCAGCATGGTGGCCTCCAAGTTGTTATGTGTCTTACGCGGTGGCTGGCTTTCCTCAGAGTAAGTGTCCCAAGAGAACCAGGTGACAGCTGCATGGCCTTCTGACCCAGCTTCAGAAGGTACCCAGCCTCACTTCTACCATGTTCTGTCAGTTACAAGCAGCTCATAAGGTCAGCCCAGATTCAAGAGGAGGGGAATTAGCTCTGCCTTTCAGTGGGGGAGTGGTGGCAAGGTCATATTGCAGAAGAACATGTGGGCTGGAGTTATTATTGCTGCCACCTTTGGTAATTAGGTTGGTTGGTTTGTTTTAATGGAGATCCTGGGGATTAAACCCAGGACCTTGTGCATGCTAAGCACACACTCTTACCACTGCACTATATCCTTTCCCTGCTGCCGTCTTTGGAAAATACAATTTGCCATATCCACCATTCCCAGTTATCATGTTACTCAAATGTTGAACTTCAGAAAGGGAGGCTGAGGGTGAAAGGTAAATGAGTGAAAAATCACAGCAAGTGCAAAGTATACAAGCAGTGAGTCTAAATGATTGACCACCCTCATATGCAAACCACATTCTCCAAACGCTAGAAAGAGTCTTTCCTAACTCCTGTCTATTGTTGGAAGATAAAGCTTGTCCACGTCTTGCTATAACAGAGAGGATTTTTCTTCTTAATTTTGTATTGAAACAAAAATAGATTTTTGTGCTGGACTTCTAGGCTGCAGGGGAGATGTACTTGGTCAGATTTTCTTCTGCAGGCTTAGTGTCTGTTCATGAGTAATTTGAAGGCACATGACTTTCGAATCTCCCCTGCACATTGAACTCTGATCCCCAGAGCCCAGCCAGAGGCCCTTCTTACTCACACATGAGGCTCATTTTCTCCTTCTAGCATTGTTTCTCCCATTTCCCTGAGACTTCTGAAGATCTAAAGGACTGCATTTTTAGAACCGTATTGTAGTTTTTTTTTCCTTGAAGGAAAATAAGAATAGTTTCTTTTAGATAGAAAAAAAATGTATAGAAAATAGAAAGAAGGCAATAATTTAAAATGCTATTAATGTGTAGTGCATTGTACACATACAAGAGACTCGTGTTCTTTGGCAGAAATCAGAATATTCAACAATACAAGAGGAAATAACAATTATAGTGCATATCAATGCATGATATATTTAAGAATTTCTAAACCTATTGTTTTCAGCCTAACACTGAAAAAACTTTTGCTTTCTCTAGATGTTAAAAGATTTGTATAATGAAATATTACTTATTGCCCAGAGATTCTAAAACTATCAATGGTCTTAGTGTATATTTTATTTTAGAATGAAAACACATACTAATCACCCCTATTATAATAGGCATTTTTGGATTTCTGTTGCTTTTTACC